CCACTTCTCATGAACAGAGTTCACTTGTGACTGCAAACAATTTACCGTTGGTATTACACTTGATATTTTCACTCACTTGAGTAGCGCATGTTATACGGAAGCTGTGCGAGATGTGCCGAATGGTTTGACGATACCTTCTGTCAACATGTGCTGCACCGTGCGACCACCACACCTTGTTTCTGAACGAAGCTTTGCAACATCAACATTTGTAGAAAATAAATTTTTCCAACATTCATCGATCTCAGATTATTCCGATACTTTTCGATCTGACTCGCCTACTGCGACATTACCACAGTTTGTGTATCGAGGCTCAAGGACCACGGGCCGTGGCCAAAGCATTGCGGGTTTTGGTTAAAGGATTACAGGTCGAGGCTAAAAGACTGCGGGTTTTGGCTAAAATTTGATGGGAAAAGGTGTAGAACAAGACTCAGCAATCACCCATCACGCCATAGCCGGTCACACCATAGAATACGATAACCCGAAAGTACTCCAACTGGGATGTCGAAGATGCACTGGAAGCTCGTATGCCGAAGCTTTGGCCATTAGCACCCACTCTGCATGCGTCATCAGAAACGACGGAATCGAGATCCCGAGCATTTGAACTGCTCTAATATCACTAACGGATAACTACGACAAAGGTTACCGTGCTACTTGATCCGATAGTGGAAGTTAGTATGACAGACAACGAATCATTCAACCTACCATACACACACAATGAAATATTTGTTGACTTGTGATCCTTTCCTCTGAGTCATTTGATTGTGAAAGCTATCTTTAGAAAGGTTACCCACGGTAATCGAAACGTCAGCGAACACAATCCTCTACTGACATCGCTGTGTTAGTAACATTATAACGTTCCCAATAAGACACACATGACACATCGATTTTTCGATACACTAAACATCGTTTGGTCCTGATATATTAAAAATGTGATGCATTGGTTTGATTTCTTGGTGCTCTCTATGACTCCAAACAGTTACGTTGTGTCCAGTACGTATGTAGACTTAGAGGATGAACCCATAACACGCTAATCCCTAAAACGCCAGTGGATCAAGAGTCTGAGGAATGACCGCGAGAAGTGGTAGGTAGAAAGTGTAAAGAGATGGAGAAGGCTGCGGCTATTGGTAATAGTCGCAATNNNGAAAGCAGGCGTAAGTGAGGTAATCACGGAGTCTGTCTGCACACTGATTCAAATTCAGGAACATTGTCTTGAGTGTTGGGCAGAACATTTCAAGGCACAGTTCAACTGGTCCCCTTCGACACAAGACCTCCCTCCACCCGGTTCAACTGTGCAAATGTTGCCAGTTGACCTCAGTCCTCCATCTAAAATGAAGGTTACCCGGGAAATAAGTTACCTCAAACGGCATAAGGCTTCCGGCCCCGCCGGGCTGTCCCTTATCGGTTTTTAAGGATGGAGTTCCAGCCTTGGTTTTTTGAGTTAACAAAACTCCTGGGTTCATTGTGGAAGAGGGAAGAAGTTCCAACTGAATGGTGTAAATCGGTAATCATGCCAATTGACAAGAAAGGAGACAGATTCTCCTGTGAAAACTGCAGAGGAATTAGTTTAATCAACATTGCACCTAAACTTCTCGCTGGTGTCATACTCTGTCGATTGTCTGCTGCATGTGATCGGTATACATGTGAGAACCAAAGTGGTTTTAGACCTGGTCGAGGCTGTATTGACCACATCTTCACACTTTGTCAAATTCTAGAACAGAGACACTCCTGTCGTAGACCCACCATTTCTATCTTCCTCGATCTAAGAACCGCTTTCCACTCAGTCTACCACTCTAAACTCTGGCGCTGTCTTTCTCTGAAGGGTGTACCCGAGGAGTTTATTTCAATGCTACGATTGCTTTATTCTAATACCCGAGACCGAGTCTGAGCTTACGACAATTTTTCACGCAAGTTCACCACGGAAAGTGGCGGTTTCTATTTCACTTCGTAATTGATTTAATTCTTGAAACAGTCTATCCTCATGCGAGGATAGCGACATCGATTTACTCCTGGGTAGCAGACTCTCTGACCTAGAGTATGCAGACGACATTGTGCTATTAAGTGAAGATCCAAATGAGTCACAAGCTTTTCTGGATAGCTTGAGTGCTAGTGTGTCCATGTTCGGTATGCGTTTTGCACCTTCAAAGTGTAAAATGTTACTACAAGATTGGATTGGTCCCGCACCCAGTCTCACTCTAACTGGGGAAGTAGCAGAGGAAGTAGACAAATTTTGCTATCTGGGCAGCTATATCTCACCTGTCGGACGCATCACAGATGAAGTGTCGGGGCGGATACAAAAGGCTCGGTTGACATTTGCCAACTTGAGACACTTGTGGCGCCGTTGCGATATCCGGCTTTCTGTGAAGGATCGAGTGTGTGCTGCAACAGTTCTGCTCTACGGTGCAGGATAAAAACATATTGTCGGTGTTCGAACACCGCTGTCAACGTCACATTGCACGAGTCCGGTGGGGGAACCGGATGAGCAATGTTGAGGTTAGGCGTAGAGTTTCAGGTAGTCGCGGTCGTCCACTGAAGCAATTGATCGACCTTCATAGATTATGCTGGTTGGGGCAGGTGTTACGCATGTCACCACATAGGTTGCCGAGGCAGGTAGTGGGTGGAATAAAGCCCAGGGTGGTCAAGCTAAGACCTGGAATGAGGGTAGGAAAACCCTAATCAGGAGACTAGGTCACATAGGCCCCCTGGCTGGGGACTTCGGGATGATCGTAACCGATGGTTAGAGACACTGAGTGATATGGCTGGGTGGCGTAAACAGTGGCGCTCGTGCATCCACTCATTATTCCCCTATCACTATTCTGTTTGAATTCTCCATCTTCCGCTTGAATTTGCTTTCAATATTCCAATATTCCTTCTGCTCTTTTATCCAAATGGGCAACCAAAACCGGCGCACGAAAGTGCATGGTTAATGGTTGTAAAAACTGAATATCACAACCTTCGTAGGTAAACTAAAATAAATAACAGTTTTATGATTTGTGCCCCTCCCCCCATGGTTTACGGTATAGGAATAATGACCGACTGCATCGGTTACCCGCGCGTATCTCTCAGAGAGATGGTGTTATTTTACTGGGTTGCGACTAGCCACGAGAAGTGCCTGTTCTCAGATTGTACCGGATGAAAAAAATGTTCAGTGTAAGCCTCCACACGCGTTTCACCATACTTTTCATTACAATGAAAAAGAATTAACCATATGCTACGAAGTACAATGTACCTAACTCGAAATCAAAGCCTCAAATAACCCTCACGGACCTACGTGTTTTGACTTCAAGTTTGCAACAGGTCTTCAATGTCTGCAAAACATGAAACCCGTGAAACTTCACCTAGTAGGCTACTTGCATTGTTCCAGTTATATGAAAAAGACCGCTGTTTTTTTCCTTAGACATCAATGTGTGACAAACAGTAGACAGGTTAAACCCCATAGTCTCTAGGACCTTCTTTTCAGTGATGGTATTCGGCAACCTAAGCTCCGAGACTTGGGGTGGCGAACCACATAAGGCCCCACTAGGTGAGGCGTGGTATAGAGTCGGGCGACAGCAAAGTTGTTTACCACCGTTATGTGGTAGATGCACAATAACGGTAAATGCACAGTTACATAGGGAAACGTACCCTATTTTAAAGATTGAGGATAGTTATACAACACTCAGTGACGGTTGACATTTCTCAACTTATTCGATCGTTAAACAAGAAGCGCCAGGAAATCCAAACTCAAATCTATCAAGTAGTCTTTTTTGTTCGGTGAACTGCTTTTGTCTATTTTTATTTGCTGGAGTAACCTTTCTAAGGTGAAAAATATGTAGTCAAAGGAAGTCAGGGGTTGCCTAACCGATTGATCTTGTGGGGCTGACTTTTGTTTGGTCTCGTCCCATTCATATTCCAAACAATCGTGTATCAGCGGTTGTAAGAAGCTATTGTGAATATCTGACAGGGTCATGGAGGCAAGCAAACTGTGGTGGGAATCATCCTTCCATGCATTTTGACATGTAATGTGGCACAACTTTACATCTGAATCTCGCCTGGTGCCTGAGGTCTCTTGACATAGAAATTTGCTATTCAACAAATTATTCTTAAGCCCTGGTTTCTGGTACAATTCTCACTCTAATCAGGCATACCTCATGGTCTCATCATCAAGAAATTCGCCATAATTTTCTACTTACCTAAAAATGTATTTTTACTTCTTCTCTATTTATTGAATAAACAAACGTACAGTTAGCTTTCAGGAAGGGGACTGGGAATATACGGAAATGGGGAAAGATGGTGGGTAGCGGTGGACCGTTTCCAACCCGATACTTTCGGGTCACTATTTTAATGACCTTCATCACTTGACCACTACCACCACCGACCTATACAAGAGTTCATATACTAAAGTATCTTTAGTTCAGTAATTGGCTTCAACTCTAACATCGTTGCAGCATTACCGATGCTACCGTTGTTTTCCCTTCTTAGATTATGGTTTTCCTCGTTTTTGTCCTTGTTTTGCACAATCCCTTTACGGACTTAATCCGACTTTCGCATTTCGCGTTCCGTTTTAGGCGAAAGAGTTAACCAGTACTCATCGACTGGCCGAATTCGTTGCATATCTCCGTGATTCTGTTTGGCCTCCCACAGATCCGACACAACCTACAACTCAACCGGGTGAGCGGGCAATGGAGACTAAAATGCGCACCCGGGTGTTGTGTCGTACCATGCTATTGGGTTCTGTTTCTGGTAAGTGCATCTTGATAGACATTACCATTGACCACGCTATCGGTCGTGTATTATTGTTACCTCTATGTGATTTCTCCTTAGGTTAAATCACAGCTACAGTTTTCCAAAGTTGTTGAGAATGTCAGGAAGAGATTATTTGCTTGGCAAGTATTGGTCCTACTTAGAAAAATCCTGCAACAACCAGGTTTTTTCTTTTGTCTCTGTTCTGGTCAGTTAATTTTCAGAAAAGTGTCAATGCGATGAAGCAGTGTGATGACCGACAAACGGCTCTGAAGGAACGTTTTTTCCTTGTTGAAACTCACTCGATTTGTTCCTCTGCCGGTATCTAAACCACAAACTTTCGGGTTTAGGTGCCGAAACTCTCAACTCAGCGCCACACGGTGGACGGTCACCATCTGAAACATGTCCGTGCAAGCACACAAAAGTAGCACGAACTGCTAATGGATCTCAGCATCGTAGAAAGAGCTATCACATCATTCCATTGCATTTACTTGCATTCGAATGTGGGGAATAAAAAAATCCTCAAGGGGGTAAGACCTATAACTAAACAATTTGATGCAGATCCTGACGTCTGCAAATCCGTGTGTTTTTAACACGATAGTTTCTCATATAAATTTTTGTGTTTTAGTGGCTTCCGTGTATCTTCATGTTCGATCTGACCAGTGTTTATTGTTCATATCTACCCGGACGAACAGTTATGAAAAGAGTAGAATGAAAAAAAAGAAAGTGTTACCCCTGCAACGATAAAATCTGGATCAGGTATAAAGTAAATAGAGGTATCAGTTTGAAACACTGAGTCCTCTTCATCAAATTCAAATTCTTATTATGGATAAATTACAAAGCTGATGCTTATTGAATTCCATAGGTTTTGTACATACTGGGTTGGTAGTACAATTGAATAGCAATTTCTGACGTTCACTCACAGGTACTGAAAAGTTAGGTGGTTCATCCAGCCGTGACTTGAATGAATCGATGGTTGGTGCACAAACAACTTGAGGTGGAAGAGAGTTCCAGGTGTTACAAACTCTGAGGCTGAAAGAATGACACCTGCAGTCGAACCGGCTCTTTTGGAGCAGAAGTTTAAACGGATGTCCTCGGAGGTGACCATTCCTGGATAGCGTCACTAGAGTACTACACGGGTGGTTAGGTTAATGTAGTATTTGATAAACGAGGATCATGTCTCCCCGTATTCGACGGTATTCAGACGAGTAGAGTCCGAGAATTCGCAGTCTTTCACCGTAGGTCTTAAATTGTAACCATTTGACCATTTTGGTTGCTGTTCTCTGCGGACGTTCAAGTGCCTTTTGATCACGAATCAGTCAAATATTCCATGCCTGTATAGCCTACTCGGTGTGTGGTCTAATGTATGCTGGGGCAATAGGTCTGTTTCGAATGATCCAAAAACACGTTTAACAATCCAACGTGGTTTATACCTAAAAGAAGAAACATGTCACAATATGTTAAAACTTCGTTTAATATCCTCAATCGTTGACGTAAAACGAATAAACATATATATAGCACATTGAGTGGGTAAAT